TGCGAAATAATTAATCGTAGCAAATGTTACGACTTGTCAAAGTAGACGGTTTAAAATTAGTATTTCAAGAATTTCGATAACATGCTAACTTTAAAAATTCTCCGACGTTCGTATGGCAGTTGAATCTACAAATTCCTTATATCATCTCAAAACTTGTTTCGAGGACTATATTATAGGCATATCGAATAGTTCAAACATATATCGAAAATAGTTAAAAATGCGTCAAACATACGTTTTAAAAAGAGGCGTCTAACTCGTATTTTTAAAAAAAAATTAATTATTTCATTAACATTAATTATTTTTGTGATACAAATTTCTCAATGTAATTTGTATTATTTTATTAGGAAATTTAGATGGATATGATATCAAAAATTTTCAAAATTTTACATCTGAAAAAGTCATATTTTATGTAAATTTTCGGATGCAAAATTACATGTGATATGATTTTTTTGGATGTAAATTTTCGATTGTAAAATTTCTCCCAACTTTTTTGCAAGTTCGATTGTGCCCTCCTAACTTTAATTGTCTGCTTCCACCCCTGCACAAATCTAATAATCTAAAATGTCATTATTAATACTTAGCTAAAATAAACTTTAATATATGCAAATTTACAAGATAGGTGCTTGTTTGGGAAAAATTATAGTGTTATTATAATGAAAAAAAAGGTAACAAGTTTAATATGTATGAATAATAAATGTGTAACAGTTGTAAATGTACGATTAAAATTAACTGTATGATTTTTTACTTCAAATTGTAATATTTGACTCGACTTTAATAAATGCAAATGGTCAAGATAGGTGTTTATTTGAAAAAATAAATAAATTATAATATTACTATAATGGAAAAGGGTAATGAATTCACGAGGTGTGAATATGTAATTAAAATTAATGTTTGACTTTTTGCTTTAAATGTTTGACTTGACTTTAATATTTGATTATTGTGATAATGTTTAAATTCACGAAATATGTTAATAATAAATGAGTAATAATTATTTAATTAATGAATATTTTCGACTCTTTAATAATAATAAAATGTAAGCGAAACAAGCAAAGCATATAAAATCCCATTTTACACAATAGTCCAAGAAACTCCACCTCACCCCCACCAACAAGGCCACCCTGAACCTCCAAATGGCGGGTATGCACACCTCCTTGAGGTCCCAACCACCGTCCTCCAACAGCAACTACCACTTTTTCACCGCCAAAATCCTCCTCCTACTGACCCTCCTCCCCCTCTCATTAGCGCTCTTCGCCTTCGTACTCCAGTGGCGCGGCGGAGGTATCGTAGATGATCCCATCTCCCGATGGTCCCCTGATGACTCCCATACCAAGTTCCCTGGCATGGATACCTCTCCTTCAGCCACTGTTGGCCACTCTCCTTCTTCTGATTGCTCTATGCTCTTGGGAAACTCCAATGCATTGTCATTTCCTTATTACAGGGACTGGAAGTTCAAGTTTGACTCCGATCTTAAGCCCAAGGTTTTTTTTTTTTTTTTAATCATTTTTCTTTTTTGTTTGTTTGTTTGTTTGTTTGGGTATGATCTGATTTTTAGGTTGATATCAAATGGGTTTTGCTTGTTCTAGTAATTTAAGTTGGGTTTTTATGGTGATTTGAATTTCGCGGAATTGTTCATCTTGATATTGGAAAGTATGGGGATCGACGAAGTTTTGATTTAGTTGGTAGCTTACTGTTTTATTGGATAAATTGGTTTTATTTGTTCATATTTTGTCTTTTCTTGTAAATTTAAAGTTGAAAATTGCAAGACCACTGCATTCTTTTGAATGAATAGGAGGCGTAATTTTGGGAAAAAAAGCTACATCCAGTAATTAGATGGAAATCCAACAAAAGAATTTAAATTTCTTTTCCAGTAATGTGGAAATAGAGATGTTTAAAAAATAAGGCCTCTACTATAATTCCTTAGAATCCCTGGTATTATAACCTCCTTAAACCATTGAAATTTGATGTTTACCTTCTGGCCTGAGTCTATGGTCCTAGATGTTTCTCATGTTATTTTATCTTTTATTACATTAAATGAAGATTATGCTTGAAACATGGTTGTGTTTGAAGATCTGATGACTAACAGATTCAGAATAGCAGTTAGGAACAGTAGTCAATGTTGGCTAACATGGGTATGTTATTATATGAAGTTTATGCTCAATGTCTTATATAACATTATATGGAGTTTTTATTGCAAGTTCATTGCATAATCATAATGTTGGCCAATATATTTACTTCATAATAAGAGTTGAAGGAATGTTGTCGTAGGGAAACAAATCTTTCAACACTTATTTTATAGATTTAAATCTCTCTACCTGGATCTATTTAGACATTAAATTTTACTTCAAATTTAGACCTAAATTCTTGGCATCCCAATCCCATGATCAAATTATTTCCTAATCCCTATTAAGTACACTGCCTGTTTAAATCAAACTATTAAATTCTTTTCTTCATTATCAGCAGATATGTATTACAACAAGTACATCAGCTGGCTTAGATCAGATACTGCCATGGATGTTCTATCATAAAGTTATTGGGGTATCAACCTTTTTTCTTTTTGTTGAAGGGAAGGCTGCATCTCCTGCTGTCTCCAAAGTCCTTGAATCCATTCCTGTGAGTTTTTTCCTGTCTATACTTTTCATCCACTCTTTTGACCAAGTAATTACTTTTTCTAAGGCCGATATGGTCACTTTGGATTTGCAACACACTCTACTGAAATACTATGTCATAAAATACTATCTTTACCTTAAAAGGAAAGAAAAAACACACCTGCAAACTGTAATGGTCTTCAAGGGAATTGTAGAGCGGTATGGAACAGAAAGATGTTTAGATTGATTTCTGGTCAACTGAATAAACTATGTTGTGTGATATGTGTATAATATACATTTTCAACCATATAAAAGAAGTTAGTTGATATAAACTGACAATGTGCTATTTTATTCTAAAATAGACTATGTAATTCATTATGGTTTAATGGTCTTTGGATGACATTAGCCTTAAGGCAGATCTAATCTCTGGCCCTAAGCTGTTGTGGTCTTTTCCAAAGGCTATTGTATTCAAACAAAATGTTTTGAAGGGTTCGTCCGCGACACTTTGTTTTCAATGTAAAAACCTGTTTTTTCCTCTCGAAAACACAGGTTTAGAAGTAATTTAGCTTTAATTATGTGGTTGAGTGAAAATGGTTATAATGCAGCCACTTCATTCTGCTAATCATTTAGGAGAACAGAGATTGAATTCACTTGGTGCTTGTTTGGGTTTCATTATAGGTTGCTAAAATTAATGTGATATAATGAGGGGGGGTAAGTGGGTAGTAGTTGTGGGTCCTGCCAAATGTGTGGTTAAATTAAAGTTTGACTCTGACCTTTAACTTTTAAGGAGCTTATGATGAAACACAAACAGGAACTTAGTACTAAATGCCTTTTAGGGTGTGATTTGATGCTGAAAACTAGCGTGTGGGACAAAACAGTGTCTGGTTGGCAACTTCCAGTTTGTATCTACTGGAGTGGGACAAGAGTCATCATCGTTTTGCCTATCTGAACATCATTAGTGAATTGGGTTCTTCTATAATTTTTTTCTATGGTAGATAAACTGCCAAATTCCAGGTTTCTGCCCACTTTTGAAATTTACCTCATCTATTTCACACCCTTCTGGAATCGTTTCAGCAGGAGTAGGCAGGAACTGGATTAATCCAACTTGTGCTAACTTCCACTTCACACAGATGTAGTTTCTAAATCAATAAGCAAAAAAATCTTCTTATCCTTTTGCAGGGAGTGAAAGTAATATACAGAACCCAAGAGCTGGAAGAGCAACAAGCAAAGAGGTAAGTGACCTGTGTTGTAAGTTTTGCATCTCGCCAATCATGTATGTACCACTTCTATTTGCCAAACAGCATGGGATTTAATAGGGTTATTCTCTTGGAACATTTCTGTAATTCCGTATAAACCCTTGTCAAATCCCATCCATGTATTAGTGATCAGCTTTCTCATACTAGTACCCTTGTCTCATGTTGCTTCAGCCGCATCTGGAATGAAACATGGTTGTCGAGTTTCTTTTACAAGCCTTGCAATTACGAACTCTTCGTGAAGCAATCTCTTAACATGGAAATGGCAATTGTCATGGCTAGGGTATGGCAGTTCATTATTGAGTGTTGGAGAAGTTTAACATCATTTCTACTTTGAGAGAATGGAAGTTTTACTTTTAATAATGCTAGGATGCTGGCATGGACTGGATAATTCATGTAGACACTGATGAAATGATACATCCAGCTGGTGCAAAGGAGTATTCTTTGAGACAATTACTGCTTGAAGTGCCTGGGAGTGTGGACATGGTTGTCTTCCCCAATTATGTAAGTGATATGGCATATGTTTTGTTTATGTGTATGAGATCTATTAATATCTGTGCTTGTGTACTAAATGTTAATTCCATCGCAGTTGAATAATTGAAAAAAGTAAAATATAACTTAACCAGACATTTGAAAAAGCACAATTCGACATCAATAATCTTGGTCAAATTTCACAACTCTATTTTTCTTCTTCAGGAGAGCAGTGTTGAACGAGACGACATCAAGGATCCTTTCACAGAGGTAATCCTTGCATTCTTTTGGTTCAGATATATTTCTACTCTTGAAGTTATATCGTCTTTGATTGGCAATTGATCTTACAAGTTCATGGATGTGTGGAGGATGTAGGAATATAAACTATAGTGGACAAAATTTGTCCTGAATTATTTTATATATATGCATAGTAGCACATAAAACTATATGTTATCATCTGCTGTCCTCCTAACAGATAGATGCAACCGTTTGATTTTCCAGAGATGCATTCAGAACAAGCAATTGCTTAATTTGATCTTGACAAACTTTAAAATGATGTTTTTTTTCCTATTGATGGCATTTTGTAAGCTTAAGAAACCTTTTGCCTGAATGCCTCTTCATGCCATAATATGTTCACAAACCTGATTATTGATGTACTACATTTGAATTACTTTTCCTTTGTTGAATCTGTCTAATAGGTATCATTGTTCAAGAAGAACTATGACCATTTACTAAAAGATACATATTTTGGCATGTATAAAGAATCAGTCCGTGGTAATCCAAACTACTTTTTGACTTATGGAAACGGGAAATCAGCTGCTCGAGTTCAAGACCATCTTCGCCCCAATGGTGCACACAGATGGCACAATTATATGAAAACTCCAAAGTATGTTATTATCTTAATACTTACACTTATTCCCGTACCTTCTTTCCATATCTTATGAAAAGGATCAATTCTGCTTGTCCATCTTTTTTTTTTTTTAGCTCTTCCACATGGCTGTATTTCTTTATAGGCTTCTACTGCTTATTCTATGTAACTTTTGACAGTGAGATCAAGTTGGAAGAGGCTGCTGTCTTACATTACACATATTCCAAGTTCTCTGACCTGACTTCTAGGAGGGATCGATGTGGTTGCAAGCCAACAAAGGAGGATGTTAAGCGATGCTTTATGTTGGAATTCGATAGAGCTGTGAGTTTTTTGCACTTGGTTTTTGACCCTTTATAGTTGGTTATGCTATTTCTGGAGAAGTCTTTAATCAGCACAACTGAATTATGTGGGCAACAGCCTCCCATCGAGTGAAACTTGCATGCATATTCTTAAGAGATTTTTGCAAGCTTATTAGTTCTTATACAATCCATGAGTAAGATTAGGAAATCATGCTTCTGATTGATTTCTGTCTGATTTTACAGTAGGAGCTAAATATCAAGAAATAACAGCTGAATTAATAAATGGAATTAATGTATGATTATTACTGATGAAAGAAAGCGACATGCTGCTGATAAATCAAAAGCAATTTAAACCTAGAAAGGTCTCTTACTTCGAATTGGTCACATTTTAACTTTATTTTTTCAACAATATAGAAGAAGAAAGGGGTCTGTGCCAATATTTGGCGTGAAGCGTTTTTTCCTATTTTTAGAAGGAATCTAGTGACAAAAGTTGAAATAGTGCTCAGCTGCTCTTAATTTTTCCAAGTTAAAGCGTTCTTTTTCTTCCTGCCTCTTCTTGTTTTTTTCCTCTCTTCCCTTGTCATAATGTTTCTACCCAAGTCCTTCCATAAACATGTATATACAGCTTTAACTTTAACAGGCTCCTTCCACTAGTCGCAATCCATCATGCTATGTGCTGATGATTAGTATATTTTAAAACTTGAATTACCTTGTCATTTAGTTGAATTACGAGCACTGTCTGAATGAATCACTTCCCAATCTTCAGCTTTCAGACCATAAAAGATCTAGGCATCTAGAAGCTTTTTCATAGATGGAAGCCAACATTTAATCACTCGGATTACAAAGCTGTAATTTAGATGGTTTCGTCTTCTTTCTTTTGTGTGGTTGGATACTATTTGTACCAGAAAAGCACCTGCCGACGCGCACCGTGGACTGCTGCTAGACAATAAACAGATAATGGAGAAGTTTTAGCTGCAATTTTTACATGTCTTGAACTTTTTTCCACACTCGGTATATCCTGTCCAAGTCTTTTGACTGCTTTTGATTCTATCTTTTATGACTGCCACTATAAGTTGTAACTAAAATGAAGTGATTTAAAGCAATAAGCCAATAACAGTGATGCATTCCGTCATAATGAAAGGGGATTTCAAAAGCATGAAAATAATCTATGTTTCCGCCTTTCTTGTCAAACCTTGAATTTAATCTGATTGTTCATCTCGATTCCTGGAAGCTGGTTCTATTCTGTGTGGTAGATAGCTAGTGATAACTTATATCCTAGAATTGCAGAGACTTTTTTCTCCTATTTAAAGTTGAGTTATATCAACGGCATCAACTTCTTGCATTTTGCTAAGACATTGTTGGATTTTAATAATCAATCATGATACATGTACATCATCTTTTACATCATTTTTTACGCTTTGCCACTTCGCAATACACCATTTGACAGTTTAAAATTTTGACTGTTTTTTCACCCAATCAACACTTGACAACACTTGTAATGTCAATAATAATGTCAACGAAAGAGTGTACACATGACATTTTCCTTAATGATAATGCTTGTATAGTTACCCGATAATAGATGCTATTTATTTGTAATTTCGTCAATTAGAGATGATATTACACAAGCGTTCGGGTCCATGTAGTTTGACTTAATATTCAGTAACATTTCTTTTTTCTGTATCACTTTCTATCTTATCATCAGTTTTGATTCATTAGGACTGGCCTTGATCCTTTTGAACCTTTTGATACAGATGATAAAGCAGGCAAAGCTTATTTTTCACGTGTATATCAATATAGGTCAAAAATGTGACAACTTATTCAATTATGGCGACACTCACAAGTATTCTTGATTTAATCACAGGCATTTCTAATTGCTTCTACTGCCACAGAGGAGGAGATGCTAAACTGGTAATATTCAATTTGCGTAAAATAACTTTAGGTTCTTCTATATCATTATTTTCTACAACTTATTTATGTGGAAGGAAAAAAAACACCTGTGTGAGGTTCTACTGAAGTAAAACTTTCATAAAACTACTGTGTTGATTTAATAGCTGAAATATTTTCTTATTTTTTGTTGCTACTCCAGGTATCGTGAACATGTGGTGTGGACTGATAAGACCGTCAATTTGAAATTATTAAGGAAGGGCATATTGACGCGCATCTATGCTCCCACGGTAAGCTTTGATTTTACCAGGTTGTATGAAAACTAGCGCTTCTGTGCTGCAAAGATCTCTCCATGGGCATTTCATTTAGATCATGGTTCGTGTTCAGTGAAGGACAGTGCAACTAATAAGATCTTAAGCCTTTTTTTTATTTTTTTGCAGGCTAGCCTCATTTGGTCCCCATTTTCTAAAACTCATTTTTCTTCAAACTCAAGTTCAACCACACACTTCACGCACTTCATCAACTACTATCGAAATCTATTAAAATTTTGATTTTTAGCTAAACCAAACATGGGCCTAGTGCAGTTTGAGTCGAACATACCAAACATGTTATTATTGTTTTTAGTTTAAGTTTATGTTTATGTTAAAAGCATTGTATCTTGCTCCTGTTTCAGGCCATAGTCCAAGGTTTGAGGGAGTCGGGGGTATTTAGCTCAGTGATTTCTTCTGCCCAAGGAACTCTCTCAAAGGACAAGTTCTTAGCATCCATCGACAGCAATAATTCCTCTTCGGCCATTGCCTCTCAATCACATCCATCACGTAAGATTGGTAGAAACCGAGAGTCTCAAGCGACAGCTAGAAAAACTCTAGAAATGACAACCTTCCATGAAGCGGCTGTCCCACCATTATCTCCTCCAGTAATGGACCCTGACCTTATGATTGAAGCATGATTCTCCTGCATAATTTCTGCTTTTTCTTTCCATCAATATAACAACTAGAGAAGTATCTGACGAATTTCGCCTCTTTATAGAAAATAGGAGGATTTGCAAAGACTTGAGCAAAGCAAATTTTCCGGGGTTGATTTGTGTTTCAGTCTATAACTATTCCCGATCATTACCCAAGTGGAGGTGTATAATGTTACATATAGTGAAAATTACGAGGTTTCTTTGTCTCAACTTCATGATGTTCAGAGATGATGACATTGTTTATCATAGAAATCTTAAGTGTTGACCAGCCAAATTATTTTTGTGCAAGTACGGATTCAACATTTCGGTTGCATTTTTGTTTTTCATCTTAATACACCAATAGGCAGTAATGGATTTTTGAATACAAACAGAATATGAATATGCATATGAAGAACTTAAAAGACAATAATATATGGAAAGAAGTGTACATAAAGAATCAAATCTCTAAGACAGACAGAATACGTTTAGAACCGAGGTATTTGGTGCTAAATCAAACTTCGAACAAATACTCTGGACAACCGGAGAGATTCACTTTCGACAGTGGCAATGGATAAGCACAGCCACATCAGTATTCAATTTGAGCTGCTCATAATCTGGCGCCTTCCACTTGGATGCTGGTGGCTGGGGCTGTAGTAGTTCTCGAAGACCCTGCCTCAACAAATTCAGTACTTAGCGCTACAGCCCTTTCTCCAACTAACATTGCTGGTAATGTTTTTCCCCCGTGTCGAAGTTGGTATCTGTCTCTCCATAGCAGCTATGAGACCCAACAAATCTGCTCAAATTCGCGATTCCAGTTCAATTGACATAGTTCAACAAATGCTATATCATTTAATAGCTTAGCTGCAAATTTGATGTGCCTCCACCAGCCAACATGTTTCCATGTCACCCTCGCAAAAGCACGACTAAATAGAATATGGCAGCTAGTTTCCTCCGGACCGCATCTTGCACACCTGATGTCAATCCCAAATTTTCGGTGTACCACATTTGCACGACAAAGGATAGCGTCATGGAACACTTTCCAGACAAAGATACGAAGTCGGACAGAATTTTAAGATTCCACAAAGACTTCGATCACCCCCCGATGGTGCGCATAACAGCTAGGTGCAATTTCATTTTTACGTTCTTCAGCGACACCTATAACCACTTTTTACTATGTACGAGCCCTTAAGATCGAAGTGACATATCAACTTATCTCTCTTCGGACGAAAACTCAGAGGAATATTGATGATTCTCGTCTTCTACAAGTAATGGATTTGGAAATTCTAATATTCATTTTCCACAGAACAAATGCAACACTCGTGAATGAATTTTTTGCTCATGTTTTCAAGTTCAAGATTTCATTTTTTTTTTTTTTGATAAGTAATCTGAAAATTTTATTCATCAAAAGATAATACATGGGGAATGTATTATCAGATTAGACAACACATAAACGACATGAAATTAGGCAACCCTTCTATATGATTAGGAGATGCTATATTGAACCAACTATACAAGATTAGATAAAATAATTCTCTGAACTGCTCTTTTGATCTTGTCTTGTCTTCAAAACAGCGGCTGATCCTTTCATTCCATACGCACCATACTATGCAACCCGGAATAAGATCTCATACAATCCTACTCTCCTTATCACGAAGTTTCCTCCTCCATGCCAGCAACACATCAATAATTCGTCTAGGCATCACCCAATCCAACTGTTGGGAAGCTAGAATGGTGTTCCAAAGCCACCGAACACCATCGCAATGAATGAACAAGTGATCAATCGTCTCCCCATCCTTTTTACACATATAACACCACTCGGTAATACAAAAACCCCTTTTTCGAAGATTATCCGCCGTTAACGCTTGCCCCCGCACAACCGTCCACAATAAACCAACAATCCTAGAAGGAGAAGATAACAACACGAATGTGCAGGAAATATTTACAAGATGATACAAAAATGGCAATCTAGATTTGAGCAAGAATTCGTTTATCAAATTCATCCATTTCCCTCCCAACAAGATTACACCTAATCAAGCTACCAATTGTATTCATCGCCATCTTCAAATCCTCCCACCTATTCCCACCTGCCAATTTCTTGTACAAATAGCTCTCGAATGTCATCCTCTGCACATACTCATTGCCACACAGTTCCACCAATGCCTCCCTACCTGCATTGCTCCCGTAGAACACTTTCTGCAACAAGTCCAAGAATCTGAACATAGTAATATACTCATCATCCCATTTTCTCAAATACTCTCTTTTCAAATCCTCTTCACTGATCATCCTGTTACCGAATTCCGAGGCTCTCACGATCGCGTCCCCGCACATTCGTCCGCTCTTGGCTGCGAAATATATCCCCTCGCCGGAGCACTTTGTCACGTACCCTGCTGCGTCTCCGACTAGAGCAACTCGGTTACGAACACGGATTGGACGTGGGTGCTCGGGTATTGGATGGGCCTCGACTTTGATAATAGTCCCGCCTTCGATTTTTGCGTTCACTCTTGCTCTGATACCACGCTGTAGCGTTTTGATGTTCTCTTTGGAGCACACAGTTCCGGTGCCGACAGCTACGTGGTCGCACTTGGGGAAAACCCAGGCGTAAAAATCGGGTGATACGTCGTTACCAACGTACATTTCGGCGAGATTTTCGTAATAAGCCATTTTTTCCTCTGGTAATTTGATCCTCTCTTGAAAGGCGATTGCGCATCTGTATGTTCCCGCTTTTATGGCTTTTGCCACACGGCTATTGGCGCCGTCGGCCCCAACAATCACATCGACGGAGAGGGTGTTTAGGGTGTTGTTTAATATATAATGAATAATATAGGGCGAATTATTTGAGGTTGGGACGTCAATATGAGTGACGAGGGCTTTGATAAGGTTGGCGCCGCGACTCTCGGCGCGGAGGCGGAGGAAATTATCCAGTACTTCACGGCGGAGCATGGAGATGAACTCGTGGGACTTCAGGGTTTTGCCAAAATCAACGGTGAGATTCGAGGGAGAAATGATTTTCATGTGGGTGACTTTCCGGTCAATTAGGTGATGTGGGATGGAGAATTCATCGAGCATGCAGAGAGGAATGGCGCCGCCGCATGGCTTGGCGGCTTCGGGACTGCGCTCAAAGAGAAACGTCTCGATTCCGCCTGTAGCCAAGGCCTCGGCAGCGGAGGATCCCGCAGGACCTCCGCCGATCACGGCCGCTCGGAGCTTGGAGGTTACGATAATACGGTTACACTTGAGTTTTGGAGTTAAGGTCTGGGTACCTACAGTTCTGGGTTTGAGGTGTTGGAGGGGGTGGTGGAGGGGGCTTAGGGTTTGGGCCGCCATCTTTGTCCGAATTATGGGAAACCAGTGGGAGACTTGACTATGAAGACGACAAGATAATTTAAACATGTAAATTACAATTTTTATAATAATAGTGGGATTTGTTTTATATTAATGAATAATGATGCTTTTGTTACTTTAAGAAAATAATAATTAAAAAAAAAAACAGTAGGAATCTTAACTTCTTGGACATAGTGATTGTCTGTTTTCTTGTTCTTTTATTTATCAATAAAGCTAATGTGAAAGGGATGGCAGTCAGGGTTTGGTGACAATGCTGACGTGGCGAGCTGTGATTCCCCTATTTTTTGTTAAAAAAATCCATCTTCCAATGATTTGGTGACAAGTGTTGTTTGTCACCAAATCCTGTCAAAATTCCTAGTCACAGTAGCATAACTCTTTATTTATTGTTTGGATTGTTGAGTCACATGACTACATTTTATAGATTCAATTAAGCCCTCGTTTGACTCCCATTCTTTTGCCAATTTCTCTTTTTTCTACAGTGTTTTTGTACCAACCGAACCTGGCATTTTCTGGGCACAAAGTACCGTTGAAAAATTCAGTTTTCGTGGATGAATTTGCCCTCAGAGGTACTATCAATATTTACATGTTTGCCCTCTCAATGGAGATATTGTTTGAAAGAAACAAATAATGATTTAAAGGGTAAAAATGGAATTTATGACATGTGAAAATCTGACGTCACAGCAACGGTACTTTGTGCTTCAGAAATGTCGGGGAAGTCTTTGATTTTTCAGACATGGACCCCGCATATAATGGAAAGTGGGTGGAAAAATACTGTAGAAAAATGAGAAATTGGTAAAAGAAAGGGTGCCGAAAGGGGCTAAATACTTTATATCATTTAATCATATTTAATTACCAGTTAAACTAATGGTTAATATCAGCGTTGATGAATATTATTACTCTATGATACCATCATAACTGATTCATTGAATGAACATCAATTGATTGATATTATCCCTTCAAGATCAGAATTTCTTGTTTCATAGGGTAAATCTATCCATCTATTCAATCATTAACGTGTAATCCTAATGTGGGCGATTATAACTTATAAGCATATAAGTCAGTGTTAGTGTCAAGTTGCAAAAGAAAAACATGTTCTTGTGTTCATTCTCTTGCTCTTGATTATGAGAAGTCAATTTTTGGTATACTTGTAACTGTAAATACTGTGCCATATTTGGTATGGTAAATTGGGTAAGACAATACATGATTAAGGAAGAAAAACACGTGAGACGTTTGCGTTAAGAAATAACTAGTCTTGTGTAGTTCGAAAAACCAATCCTTCAATTGACATGGATAGGATAGTACTCAATCAAGCATTGTTTCATTGAAGTCTTTGTTGG